TTTGCGTTTTAACTTCACAATTCACGAGTAAAAAGAAACAATTCCGTTGTGCGTCTTATCGGCATGATGCAGTTACACTAGTAGTAACACAAATAAATCATTTTCAGCTTATATTTACGACCTAAAGAGTAATAAGGTCACTTTTCTGTTTACAAGAAACCCACTTAGGACTAACATGGCGATCGAGTAATAGTTCACCTAGTTTTGGAGCAAAAAATCACATAGCTAATAATTGTTTTTGATTATATCGACGTGCTCCATCGTTCTCCATCTCCACCAGGCGAGATGGTGGTAAAACGTCGGACCATCAAATATAAAAATAACAGTTTTACAATTTCATTCGAATTCTAAATAAGAAACAACTACAACCAAGAGTTACTACAATTATGAAATCACTAGATAGTATAAAACAAAGTCGCTATCTGTATGTCCCTATGTATGCTTAGATCTTTAAAACTACGCAACGGATTTTGATGCGGTTTTTTTAATAGATAGAGTGATTCTTAAGTAAGGTTTATATGTATAATATGTACATACATATTGCACCCGTGCAAAGCCGGGGCAGGTCGCTAGTATTTTTATAACATTTAAACCACACAAAAATATATCCCAAAAGTCTTGTAACGATCGGGGGGATTTCAGACCCTTGCCAAACGAGATAGCCTCTTTTGTAGCCATAAATATGGCCCCTTATCAATAATCCTTTGCCCGCAATGACCCAGCTAAGCCGCAGCCGCACTCCACGGAGGGAGGGCGCCCAGGGAGAATAAGGGTTCGCCACGGTGAAACGGATGTTTCGTTTCTAGCCCGAGTTCGTAGCCCATACTGGGCAGATATTCAATCAACACCTAACGTACAATTTCAGAATGTTCAATCCACTGCATACCTAAGATGCAAAAGATAATTGTCGAAAAAATATCAGATTTTACAAATATCATAATTATAAGTTTTTTGTATTGAGAGAGTATGAAGTAGAAAACATCTTGGGGACAAGGACGGTCGAGAAACTTTAAAAATGAATTGGAAGTTCAAGCGCCTACATTCATGGTCAAAGGTCAATTGTATTAGGAGTCGCCCTAAATAGGTCAATGCCAAGGTTAAGCAGTGCGTTGATTCAATATTAATAATGAAATGGATTAAGTTGGTACATAAAACACAAAAACTACATTTTGTAAAGGCTTCCATTCCAAAACACAAAAACTACATTTTGTAAAGGCTTCCATTCCAAGAAGATAATTCAATATTAATAATGAAATGGATTAAGTTGGTACATAAAACACAAAAACTACATTTTGTAAAGGCTTCCATTCCAAGAAGATAGTTGCTTAAAATTTAACATAACTACAAATACTACAACACGTGGTTAGAGTATCGGAAATCCTACGGTACTACCCTGTTTACAATTTTACATGCACACACACTTTGAGGACAGAGGCCTTATAGATACTTAGTGAGGGCTTAGTACGAGATTGTTTTACGTTTAAAGTAATCGATACGAGTACGCGTTTGACGCTCTGATTGGCCGGATTGAAACAAACTCGTACTAAGGCTTCTGATTAGTTCGTTCATTGGCGATTACTTTTATTTATTTAAGTTTTATACAATTGCATAAGGAAGACTTAATGCTATCAGCATTCTCTGCCCGTCATCTTTGGGTAGTGCAGAAATGTGTGTGGTAGGTGGTAAGCTGCAAAAAGATGCTTTTAACTTTAAACAAACGTATTAAGGCCTCTGATTGGTTGGTGCATTGGAGCCGGCCAATCACAGCGCCGAACGCGTATTCGTTTCGATTACTTTAAACGAAAAAACAAACTCGTACTAAGCCCTCACTCGTACGGTAAGTATCTATCTATAAGTAATATTACACAAGCATTTCATGCAAAATACGTTCTAAGATTGTCTCGGTCGCTAGTTCGACTAGTATAAAATATATAGTTTCTATACCTGAGTTAAGGGCGTTATAATTACAGTTCTCTTCAATTCTAATCAATCATTAATTCTCGTCAATCTGATCAATATATTGTAACATGATATAGGTATGCACCTCACCTCACCGGGAAATAAAGGCTGTGTTACCCGTGAGGCATCGTTCATGTCAAGTGGTATCGATTTCGATTTCTGGAACGAGCGAGCTTTTCGAGTTCAGTTTCCAGGTTTCAAACCATCTTTCGGCTTTCGAAAAACTTGAGCAATAATATTGAACTATTGAGTCTGAAATTTAACCTAGTATATAGTAATAGACTCCTACCCACATATGGGCCTCATGCATGATCCATTAAAAGTGGGTTTTACAATAATAAATATGTGCACCTCTACTCAACCACTGTCGGAATTAAAAGATGTAATCTGTACTAATATTCTAGAGGTAAAGCTGAAGAGTTTGCTTGTTTGTTTGAACGCGCTAATCTCCGAAACCACCAGTCCGATTTCAATAATTCTTTTTGTGTTGGATAGTACATTTATCGAGGAAGGTTATATAGACTACAAAACGTCACGCTACGATCATTAGGAGCCGAGCAGAGCGGGTGCAACCGCGCGGAAAGATATAATTAATTACTTACTATACAACTAGTATTATAAATAAATATTAATTAAATTGATTTAATTAATATTCAAAGTAAAATATACATAAAAATGTATGTAAATTAAAATAATCTCTGAAATATTGTGCACATTTAATTTGACCTGATATGTCAAATGTCAGACAGTCATAAAATAATTAATTCCTTTAATTTTGATATTATGTTATTTTTTAAAAAACGTATGTGTTAAAGACGCCTTTAAATGTCGCTCAACCAGAATATATCCTCTAATATTTACTACAGAAATGTTACGTTTTAAATAAAACTTTCGACATGGCAGACTAAGAGCAGATGATGATGATAAACATTAAACTAAAATAGTGTAATAAATTGTAGGATAGTAAAGTGAAATATCATTATGAAACTTGATATTACAAGCCATAAAAGACTATAACATTATGTCTACTCGCTTCAATGAAGCAATGTAAATTGTAAGTGTTAAGTACAGGGAACGGTAACAATGTTGAAATTGTGTTGAAGATGAGTAAATAACTGCCTCATTGGCCGAGTGGTCGCAAGTGCGACTGCCGGGCAAGGGGTCTCGGGTTCGATTCCCGGGTCGGGCAAAAGTATTACTGGGTTTTTCAAAAAATTCCCAGTAGTAGCACGGAGTCTGGAATTGTGCCCGGTATATGGCAATAGGCTCACCCCCTATTACATGGGACTCATAACATAAATAGTGAAAAGTGGGTGTTACATTGTACAGTGGCATAATGTACACCTCTGCCTACCCCTTCGGGGATAAAAGGCGTGATGTTATGTTATGAGTAAATAACAGTGAGGATAAGAAAGCATGCAGTGCTAAACTTTGTAAATAAATACCTATAAATGAAAATACAGACACTACAGAAGCAAAAGAAGATCTTTGTAAGTAATGAAGCTGAAAAATTATGATATTTGAAATATGATCACCATAGAGAATCATACTGCTCAGTCCTCAAGCGGTTACCAGTGACCGCACTTCACTATCTCCGTTATAGACCTTATTTCTGATGATTAGAGACTACTTTTGTATGAACAAAAACAGTAAGTGCAGTCAGCTAAGCTATTTAGTATGCAGCAGCTGTAGCCAAATGCCATTTAGCGCTAGTCTACATGTAGAATAGAAAACCAAATTATATGGAATTGACGTAAATTTTGACACTTGTCAGTGTCATCCTCATACATTTTGATTTCTACTCTCTCTGTAGACAAGCGCTAAAGTGGCGTTTGGCTAAAGGCACAGACAAGAAAAAAGGTACATACAGCTGAATTAATAACCTCCTCCTTTTTAGGAATTCAATTAACTAAAAATCGCGGGTTACTCACGTGAATATACTGAGAAAAGATCTACTAGTTTCGAACCATAGGGGGGTTCTTCGTCATGAGCAGCGTGCGCTGTCGCGGCGAAAACATCCAGAAAATATTGTTATACTAAATTGTATGCTTTATATTATAATAGAGCCTATCTTTTGTAATACTGTCTCTGTTGAAAATCAACCCCTAAATTTGTTCATACAAAAGTAGTCTCTATACATAAGAAATAAGGTCTATAACGTAGTTAAGGGAGAGTGGTCACCGGTGACCGCTTGGGGATAATTTTTTTTTTTATTTTTTCTTAGGGCCGGTTTATCAATCATTAGTTAATTTTTAAATATAGACTGCAAACTGTAGATTGAATTGTTATCAAATGTTCAAAGTTATTTGTCAGTTAAAATTTATCTGGTCTTGAAGAAATAGGCTCTAAATCATCTAAATACATGGGTATTAATAAATATGATGTATTGTGATGGAGGTCATACATGATAGGGTTTCTACAAAGGTTTAACTTGCATTCATAACCAACATGCATATCAGTTTTGTACTCATGAGTGTAGTTTTATCACATGTATGCGTAGGGTTCACCTGTTGGTTGTGCAACATGTATGTTCTCCATTACAATAGTTATCATTATGAATCGGCAAGACTTTTTTCACCAGAGTGGTAGACAAAGGTGCATGTACAGCAACTGTAGCCAAATGCCATTTAGTGCTTGTCTACATGTAGAATAGAAAATAATTATATGGAATTGATGTAAATTTTGACACTTGTCAGTGGCATCCCCATACATTTTGATTTCTACTCTCCTCTGTAGACAAGCGCTACAGTGGCGTTTGGCTAAAGGCCCAGGATATGTAATACCAAAATTTACACCATTTTAAAAATTTAAGTTCCAACATAGTTTATGACCAGCCTATTGCCATAATAATTATGAATTCAGACTTTATGTTAATACTGAGAATTTCCACATTCCACAAAACATTACATATATCCATATATTCCAAAACGATGGATAGGTTGGCGGGTATCCAAGGGTTGCCATGCATTTCAAAGAAAAAAAGCAGAACTACTAATAATGGATAGCATTATAAATAGACAAACTTAACTGTGACAACTAACCTGATTCATTGTTTGCAGGCGGCGAAGATAATACAGGCTCATGCTTAGTAGCCATCATCTACAATACCTGTGAACAAGTTATATCATATCATCCTTTTTGGACAGTTATGAATGTTTTATCTGTGGTGGCAGGACTTGGATAAAGTGTTAATCTTCATACAGCCTACAACAAACTTTTGAATAATGCTAATCAAATTTTGTTAAAAAACAACTAAATGTTATAATCTCATTCACAGATAGTTAAAAGTTAATAATAAAACAATAACAACACATTACCACACACTTCTAAGAAAAAAGTAATTTAAAAACAAACACACAAGCTCCAAGTTGTAAGTTTAATCTTGTTTATTATTTTTTGAGGTTGGTTTTAGTTAGGCTTATTAGTGAATTAATATAGAATTCAATTACAAGTGTACTACGGGATTATTACAGCCTTTAGATATTAAATAAATGAAGCAGACAATATCTATCAACTGAATTTACAAACTTATTATTTGAACTTGAGTAGTTCCAAACATAAACAATCAAAAACATTGAAAGTGAGAGGGTTACAAGCCGCATAACAATTAAAAAGTAATTTATCATTGCACTTACATTCATTATCCAGTTAATTCCGAAATTTCAAACTATTCTTGCGTATACCCCATGATATTTTACTTCATAAATACAAACAAATCTACGAATCCAAATCCGGCACAATCGTTCACATTAGTTTACGATACAATTCAACGCTCGAAATTGTTCAGATGAAGAGAAACAATAGTACATTTGGTCACTCCACTGTCTCAGTTTATACACTGTTCGTTTTGTAGTTTTCACAAAACAATCACAAAAACTATAAAACATGCAAATAGTTTATTTTCCGCGAACTTCCGTAGCACTGTGATATTGTCACTTCGCTTCTGCAGAAAAATACAAAATGGCCGGCTAAATAAACGAGCGCTGTCAAAAAAGTGTATTGTATCGATAGTCAACCGTTTACACTAAATGTCACTTTGTCTCGTACACATTTCTATCATAATGTTTATCAATCTATAAACCAAATATGCAAATTACAATATGGTATACCTAATTAAATAAAATATGCCGAGTAGCTTTCCTGCGACTCACGAACAAATCGAAGCGCACTCCGCATACTCATATTACCCCACCGAGAGGCAGATGCGACGCAGACCGAAACTCTGTTCCTTTCACTCACAGGCAGACGCGGTACGGTTGCCAATGCCAGAATGGCGGACTGCCAGTATTGGTCGGTTGGCAATCCCCTAGCGGTTGTCAGCAATGGCATCTTCTGTCTCTGTCTAACCATAGGAGTAATGGCGGTTGTCGATATATGCGTCTCTGTCCCACGCTTCGTGGACTACGGTATTTCAACATAAGCATAAATAGCACTCTGTCTGACATAGTGGTATATTATCGGAATATTCGGAATGGTTGCCGCCGCTAGCCCCGATTTTGTCCGTAATGACCTCGCTCACTCGGTTCTTGTCGAGGTTCGACCGACTCGGTTCGAGTTGTCGTTGTTAAACAGAAAAAGTAATAATAATAATGTATAGACTGAGGCGGATTGAGTCAGACATAACGTTGAGTCACGGAATGTATAATGAGCACGGAATTTAGTGCGCTAAGCGAGCGTAGCGCATTGCTCTATTTCGTAATAAATTGATTTGATTGATCAAGCATTTTATAGGTGAAATTTTAATCGAAATTAAATAGCTGTATAAATTCAATTTTCCGTGATTAGTTTTTGCATACGTGCGTAAGTGATTTTCTAGGTGCGATAATTTCAGCATATTTCCATTTAGTTCCTTATCTTTCTACCATAATAATTAGGCTACGTAAGTACCCAACTAATAAAACTCATATTTCATATAGGCATATCTTTACTATTATTTATTTAATAGGTCTAAAGGTGTGTGTTTACGTACCTACATTATTCATGCATACTTAATTTGAAAGATTTTATTAAAGGCTTTTTAAAAGCACAACCATAAGGCGAGAACATTATGAATAATGAAAAAAAGAAGATGGCGTATTGAGACTGTACAAGTTCTCTGTGGCACTCGTCATGGCATGCGTAACAACTCCGATTCCAGTTCGAACCGGTTTATTCGAGCGGGCAAGCAAGAAATCTATCTCGCTCTTACAAGCACGGGCACAATAAATACACACGATTTTAGTATTATGTTTAACGATAACGGCACTGCGGCCGCGGAAAGTGAGTAGGTATCAAACTGTTTTATCGAGCAGGCTTGTGTGTAGAGATAAAACGTCGATAAAATGAATTGTGGATTAGTATTATAATTATTTTAATGAGGTCACTTTAGGCTATAGAAAGTATAGAATTATGAAGAACAGTAATAGATAAGCATAATACTATTTACGAATGTGTTGTTGTTAATAATACGAAAACTGGTATTGATTTATGAGTTGGCGTATTGTCGACAACCGGGTATCTTTTATTGTTCCATGTTTCCGTTATGTTAAGTAGGACTGCGTTTCATGTTGCTCCCACTAGGGTTAGACTAATACACATGGCTGCACGTCAAGATAAATATACTGATCCAGTTTGTAATGGTCTTGCTTTGTATGATTTTTCCGCACATTGAAGTTTTTGTATAAGTTGATATATATGCTACCACTGAAACATACTTATACCTGCATTTGTGATGCATACAGTCCCGCAATGGTATTTTACACTCCCTTTTTCCTTTCTATGAACAGTGATTGCATCCATGCTTTGCTTTTGAAGTAATTTAGTTCTCACTAAAATAAAACAAGTGCCAGCCAATAGACCCATAAAAATAAACTAAATAATATGCCATACCTACTTACAAAACGCAAAAAGGACATTGCTCGTCGTCCATACATAGTTCGCCTAAGAACCAACAAAGAGTTGTATATACTTATAGGGTTAAGGATTGAACCCAAATTAAAACAACGGACACTTTTGGGAATTCTGATATAATCAAAACACTTTCGGATTTTGAGGTTATAATTACATCAATAACTTCCTTCCATATCGATGTTTACTGCGCTAGTCCGTTTATAATACGTCAGGTCATTGTTCGAAGTAGGGCCATATCAGTAAAACTAAGCCAGAGGTCGATATTCCAAGAGTCACAGTCCTTTGTTCACCCCAAGTGGTTAGATAAAATCAGAAAAGTAAGAAAATGCAAACGAATTATGTAAGTAAACGCAGATCGAGTACAGAATGTGCTGGCTATGGTTCTATGCCCTCATAGCTGACTGTTTGTAACTAAAAATTATTATCTTATATCAAGTGTTGAAAATACAGACCTTTGTTTGTGTAACACTCTCATTAAGAGTGCTGTTACAAAAACTTGGCTGTAGGTATGACCTATAATACCTTTGCCTGTTAACCTCAAATAGAACCAAAAAGTAATAGAACTATCACCGAGTATTGTTACTCAAGCTGAGGACGGAAGTCAATACTTTTTAAAATGCTCTCGAAATTAAGAAGTCTCCGTGCTATACAAATATTTGTAATGTATGTTATTAAAAGAACTTAGAATAATGATAAATGTTTCATGCGTGTTGATTCATAGGCCATTTTTAACAATGTCCTTTCCTAACTTAGACAACAAAATTTTTTTTACTCGCTAGTCTCGCTTCTCTTGTCACATACATTTCTGGCTACATTCAATAGCAGGGGTGTGAGTAAAATACCCTAAACCCGTCGGCTCCCTACGCCACTTCCGTTTCTCGCCTGTCCGTCTAAGCCCCAAGGGTAAAACTCCTTTGTTATCTTTGAAATGCCAACCCTACGTACATATATATCCGTGCTACCGATAAGTGACGGTAGAATACGAATATCACGGAATACGCCAACCCGTGTTTGTTACATAGTGAGTTAGCGTAGGATGAAATAATGGGTTGTCGTAGTCATAGAGTCATTGTGTGTACTTTAGTTTGTCGGGTTTATATTTATTGCTACGGTTATTGTAAATTGCAAAGTTTAATATGTAGGTATAAATTATTTTAGTTATTTTTTATGCTAGAAGTAAAGGCTTTTGCTCTTAGTTGGTGCGTATATTAATAATAATTGTGAAAAGCTATTTCAATATTAAAATTTGTTAATAGTTATATTGTATACAAGGAAAATCTATGAGTAATAAAATTATATAGGTAGGTATCTATTTTTGTAATTCATTTTTCAACTGAGTATTATAATCCTGGCCAGAATAACACCAGTTGGCCTTGCTTGGGTAACAAAAAAAAACAGAGCTTACTTATAAATAAACTTCATACAAAAAGGAGTCGACCCACACAGCGCACAGACCCACACTATATTTACCTGCTAGCCGAAATAACTTGCTATTATTATTACGCCAGTGCGAGCGCTAGAAAGAGAAGTGCTCTAAATTAAATAAACCTATAAAACGAATATTGCTATTCTTGTCTCTCAACACATTTTCTATGTGTTCATTGTGTGACAGATAGGAATTATGTACGAGCACACACAGTATTATCACAGTATGTATTATTGTAGAGAATACAATACGGACTTTGTATTATATAACTACGTAAATAGTTTTAAAATGTCGTGGGCACTATTTATGACATGCGATTGAAAGTCTAACACTCAAGGTCGATGTCCTTTGCGTGTCAATAAAGATAAGAGACTCTCGGGTATGCGCTTAAAGATCATTTTAGCGTGTATATGCTTGGCGCGTCACACTTAACGGACAGAGCGCATTGCCCGTAGTCGCCCTCAAATTCTCGTGCGTTCTTTGTCATAAAATTATTTGTTTCATATTCTAGGTTTATTGCTCGTCAACTACATTTTGTGTTATTATTTGTTATCGGGTAAATACTTAGATAAATTATTGGCATGTCTTATTATATCTTTTAGTATTTACTATATCAGCATCATTTACATTAGCATTAACTTTGTTGTAGCAGTGTTTTGACCTGATTTTAGATAGATAAATGAAATTCTTTATTTTCAACGTTTACCCGCGATGATTACCAGTAATATGCGCATTTGTAGTGACATTATGACTGTGCGACGTTATGGCACATCCGCCTGACTGGTGTGACGTTATAGCACATCCGCCTGACTGGTGTGACGTTATAGCACATCCGCCTGACTGGTGTGACGTTATAGCACATCCGCCTGACTGGTGTGACGTTATAGCACATCCGCCTGACTGGTGTGACGTTATAGCACATCCGCCTGACTGGTGTGACGTTATAGCACATCCGCCTGACTGGTGTGACGCTATAGCACATCCGCCTGACTGGTGTGACGTTATAGCACATCCGCCTGACTGGTGTGACGTTATAGCACATCCGCCTGACTGGTGTGACGTTATAGCACATCCGCCTGACTGGTGTGACGTTATAGCACATCCGCCTGACTGGTGCGTGCGACCATAGATTTCTGTGGGTGTGACGTTATGGCACATACGCTTGACTGTTGAATATTATGGAGCATCCACCTGACTATTGTTGTTATATTGTGTTAGTTTCATTTAACTGTTATACTGTCGCTTTCATCTGTCTGACTTTTACGACATTATTGCACATCCGCCTGTGTTTTGCGACATTTTCACACATCCGCCGGGAAAATAGTCTTGTATTTGATGTCACAGCTTAGTGATAGGGTCGGTTCGACCTGGGAAATATTAGATACCTATTTTATCACAAATAGCGAGAGAATGTGACATAATATTGCAAAGTTTTATTTGCTAAGTAAAAGTTTTGGCCAATTTTATCTAATTTAATCATTCTTCATGTTATTCATCGATAGGCACATACAGATATAAATTTAATCCATCAGAAGATTTTAATAATCTTATATTAATAAAAATGAAACTCTGAAATGTATGTAAGTACCTACGTGCATATCTTCAGAATGAAACAAAACAAAATTAGATAATTCTTTCTTTGAGAAGGTTTGCCAAATGCTACGGGATGCGCATACGAAGTCACGGGCAGCCCGCAGCAGCTAGATTTTAATACATCACTAGCTTCTGCCCGTGACTTCGTACGCGCAATCCTGTTTTTCCCGGAAACTAAAACTAAACTAAACTTTTTTTTTCGAACGGGATAAAAAGTATCTTATGTCCGTCTGCTGGCTCTAAGCTACCTCCGTACCAATTTTTATCTAAATCTGTTCTGCCGTTCTTGAGTTATAAGTGGTGTAACTAACACGACTTTCTTCTATATAAGAAGAGAAGAGAAGAAGATTAAAAATAGATAAGAAATACATTAATATAATGGAAAATACAAATTGTAAAGCAAGCATGCATCCACATTTTGTTTGTTTATCAAAACACTAACAACAAACACGACATTTAGAAAATTACGACAAAATAGTAAATATTTTGTTTGAAAACATTCTCGTTTCCCTTTTTAGAGGCAACATGTGTTTAGTTGGTACCGAAACCTGGTGACAAGAGCCATTCAGGAGTATCACCTCAGTGAAACAAATTGTGTTACATAACGAAAATACGTGGTCATCAAATCAAGTAGAGTGTCCTAGCAGAGTATTGTTAGTTAAGTTTCTAGGTCTAGGCCGAAGCAGCTATTTTATTATCGACGTCGCAAGAAATTAATTCAAATAGCTACACAGCCGTACGGCTGTGTATTTCTTCATCGAGACGAATCGGTCGCTCCAACAAAAATCAATCACCATTTTTTTAAAACATGATAAAATCACTTAAAACAAGACGTAACTTGATTCATTTGTGTTGCACTTTGTGTTTATTTATTTTTCTCAAAGAACTATACAGTTTACAAGAACTGGATATAAGTAACGATTATTATATCGACGAAGACATTTTTACACATATTCGAGACGTGAAATTCTCACCGAAAGCGAATTCAATTTACTTCCACGTGACTTCACTTCAAGGATACATGAAACCTTCGGCAGCCTGTGCAGTTGAAGCGGCAGCCAGGGCGCACCCAAGAAAAGAAGTATACGTCCTATTCACTTCACCAATCACTGACAGTGACATAGTAACAAGGCGCTATATGAGTATTACCTTAAAGAAAATCCAACGATTTCGGAACATCAAATTGTTGCGGGTCCATTTACCGGAATATTCTAATGGCACCGTCGTGGAGTCTTTGTTACTAAATAATTTGAAGAACAGCATTTTCCCAGAGCAGCATACAGCTGATATCGTGAAGATATTGACTCTTAACAAATATGGTGGTGTGGCTATTGACACGAATATGATAGTTCTGAAGACGTTAAGCAGCTTACCACCAAACTGGATTCTTAAAGAGAATGAAATATATGTCGCTCCAGGGATCATGGGGTTCGCCAAAAACGGAATTGGTTTGAATGTTACCAGCGCAATATTAAAGTAAGTATCTTTTATCTTTTAGTTTAATAAAATTATTATATGTAGATATAGTTGGACCTGTGTGGAATAGTAGCTAGATACAAGTTTGTAGCTATCCATGCTTCCTCTGTTAAGTTTCCTTTACCATCTTTTGCTTCATTATATTCTTAAACTGACCGGTGGACAAAGGATCGTTTGGAAGTTTAACATAAAGAAACCTCACAGCCTTCCCTCAGAAAAATTACCTATAAGGTCACCAAAGTTTTTTTTTAAGGGTGGAAAATAATCGAATTAAGTAATTAAGAAACTGACTTCCTCCCGCCTGGGTAAGGCGGGAGGGGGTGTCAGTTTCTTAATGACTAAAACTACCCCGTTCCGACTCCGTATCGGCATCATTGGGTCCCATCTGTGGTGGTCTGATGGTTCTTCGAGACGCGCGCGGAACGCGACGCGCCGTACGCTCTAAGGTCACCAAAGTCAGGGCCGCTTTTGTCTTCCAATTCGTCATTTAACTCGTTGAGTACCGTCATTATAGACACAATTATAGAACAATAGGTTGCGGTCACCGGTGACCGCTTGGTGTTTGACAGTTTAATAATCCTTGCATTACTAGCTAAACTTCTTATTCATGTTTTTTTAAGGGATATGCCAGTAAATAAGCAGACGGATCACCTGATGGTAAGCTATCGGCGTCACCCATGGACACACGAGTGTGGTATACGAATACCAGACGAGTTATGAGTGCATTACTGGCCATTTGGAGGTTAGATATTTCAGGATTGGGGAATTGAGGAGATTGGGGAGAAAACTTAATCGTACGTATCATTTACATTTACTATATTTATTTAGGTTCTTCTAACGTTAATTTTTTTGCAGGGAAATAGCAGACACTTACAAACCTAATAATTTAGACATCACCAACAGAATTGTTATAGAGAAGGTCGTTCAACGTATTTGTCCCATCAGAATTCGTTGGGATGGCTGTAAAGGTAAGAATGTGAAATATCATCATCATAACATCACGCCTTTTATTCCCGAATGGGCAGGCAGAGCCACTGTACAATGTAACACTTACTTTTCACTAATTATGTTATGAGTCCTATGTAATAGGGGGTGAGCCTATTGCCATTTCCGGGCACAATTCCCAACTCCGTGTTACTACTGAGATTTTTTTAAGAAACTCAATATATTCCTTTGCCCAACCCAGCTGAGATTTAAAAAAAGATCCAGTAATACTATGCCCGACCCGGGAATCTAACCCGAGACCCCTTGCCTGGCGGTCGCACTTGCGACCACTCGGCCTGCGAGCCAGTCGATATAAATAGATTTTTAATTTTCATACCCTGTCATCACCCCTGTTAACAAAAGATTATACCTCTACAATTTTTTAATCCCTATACCAGGCACAATAGGGATGATGACAGGGAATGAGAATTAAAAATGTAATTAAGTAGTCCGTCAGTTAAGTAATGAAATAATATTAGACACGTATTTTTTATTTTGTTGTATAATAAAATGATACTTAGATATAACGAATCAAAGTTTAGGAGTGGAGGCTAAAACGTCATTTCTACGTTTTAGCATAAAAGTGACGTCACGCGACATTTCGAATCAATATATCTTCGAAACTATTCGTTTCCGTAAAAACATTAAAAATACGTGCCTAATGTTTCTAAAGACAGACATTAAAATAAAAAATTGTCATCTACACTATTCCCCTTGCCCGACAGTCGCACTTGCAACCACTCGCGCAACGAGCAGTCATACATCTAATGTCAAGTACAAATGCCTTAGTACGAGTTTGATTTACGTATAAAGTATTCGAAACGAGTTCGCGTTCGACGCTCTAATTGGCCGGCTCCAATGAACCAACCAATCAGAGTGCCGAACGCGTACTCGTTTCGATTACTTTAAACGTATAAGAAACTCGTACTAAGGCCTCTGATTGGCCGGCGCCAATGAACCAACCAATCACAGCGCCAAACGCGTACTAGATACGATTACTTTTACCTGATATAAGTAATACTATCAAAAGCATAGCTACGATAAGATTGCTGGAATAATGTATTTATACTTTATTTTTTCAGATATCGATATCTACCCTTCAGAGGAGTTTTATTCAATAGATAATGTATTATGGATGTCTCCTCGTAAGGTGTCACGGTCACAAGTGGCCTTCTCGTTTCATTTAGACACACTCACGAGTACAGTACATACGTGGGTATCACAAAACGTATTAGAAAAATTTTGTCCTTCAATATTTTTAGAATTCCAAGACAACCTGGTTGTTAATTGATACTATAATTACCTACCCCATACCCTTACCTAACCTACCCCATATCCTACGCTTACATATACATAGTACAGAAAGTTGTCACTTTCTAAACTGGAACAAATTTAATCTTTAATAAAAATAAATAACAGAATGTTTTTAAAAATCCATTCATAAAATGACTTAACGATAATCCGAAAATTGAGCATGCGTGTTGATTGAAGCTTCTTCCTTTTTCGAATGAGAAGATCCCTATTCTTGCTTCGGCTTAAATGGACCGGCTCAACCGGAGTGATACCACGGCCTGGCAGAAAATTAGCGTGAAACAACGCTTGTGTTTCGCCGTGTGAGTGAGCTAACTGGAGGCCCAATCTCTCTCCTCCCCATACTGTAACCCCCAAATCTTTAAAAAGCCGACACCGTATTTCTTTGCGGTGTTGTAGGTGTCCATGTGTCCTTACAGGTGCTGAGGGTGGCCACACCGGGGTAGTTTTAGTGAGGTACGAATCCCACAGTCCTTAGTCTTTCTCCCCAAAAAGCTAGGCGCCGTTTGAAGGTTTCCCCCCGTCATTAAAAAAAAGGTGTCCATGTGTGGCGCCGACTACTTACCATCCGATGATCTGTAGGTTAATCCAGCAGCCTATCTGATGAAAATCAATTAAAAATAGATGTTTAAGCAGGTGTACCACTTACTAGTGTATTAATATGTACTTAAATTGTGTTATTGGGTAAGTGGTCAGTAGGACTTATCCCCGATCCGGAGCTGCGGACAACCTAATGGGTTACAGGAGTTCCGGCTCTTAGAAGGAACGGAGGGGTTTTTTACTCAGTACGAGTCTGACACTATCTTGCATCGCCCAAGAAGGAAGAAATAATGGTAATACTTTTCTAAGGACTTTGCTAAGGAGTAGAATTCTTTGCCAGAGTCTGTATTTCCTGAAGGGTATACCTGGGTGTTTTCAAGGTTCGAGTGAATAGGTTGCTTATGGAACGACGTGCTCCATCGTAGGCCGCATCATCGCTTATCACCAGGCGAGATAGTGGTCAAATGTCGGCCCATCAAATATACAAAGAAACTTCCCCCCTCCCCTCAAAAACAGGTAGGGAAGTGCTGGTGCTGAAATTCACTGTATTTTTTATCCAAGTTCCCAAAAAGGATTGAATATATGTATAATAAATAATACGTATAAATTATGTTTATTACAATTATATGTATAAATTATATACGTACCATGCTAGATTTATATGTATATTTATTTTATATGTTTTAGTATTTTAGTTTGTAAATAGTTTTATTTAATTCTTGGTTTAAGTTTTCATTGTCTTCATTTTGTTTGTTGTTTTTTTGTTGTTACACATTGTGTCATATTATATTGTATTTATTTCTGCTATGGCAGGGCTGCAGGAACAAATCCCATGACCTATACCATTGTTTTGTTATATTTTTTTTCCTGTGTATTGTCTGTGTTGTGTACATAAAACTAGTAAACAAATAAATAAAGGAGGAGAAGTACTGAATTGGTGAGTGTGTTTAAATGAAACGAGAAATCGACTTGTGTGTGAGACCTTACGAAAAGACGTCCAAAGAACATTATAATTATACTGAATAAACCTCGTGCAAAACGTAGATAAAGATATGTGAAAGGTTCAATCGGTTTTGGAAAATAATAGGGTAGTTGCCTACATTTAATTTTATTGCCCGTCTGGTAGATTCATTTAAATCGTACACGTATTCTTTCCTTTGTCACAAAATTAAAAACTTTCGACGATATAATAATCTGAAATATCGTGTGACGTCACAATGCGCTATATTTTGTAGCACTTAGTGACGTAACGACCTCCCACTCGTAAACTTAACTCCATTTTATCTAAGTATTGTAACTTTATACGAGAAAATAAAAAAAATACGTGTCTAAATATTTTTTCAATATCAAACTGACGGACTAATTAGATTTTAAATTTTCATTCCCTGGCATACTTGCCAGGCCGCCGTAGCGTATAGCACAATAGGGTACTCCCTATTGTGCTATACGCTAAAGCTTACTATACTAGCCTTTGGTGTTGCATTTGGAAAGGAGCGTTATATGCGATAAACTATTTTTCTTTTTATTATCGTGAGATATAATAATACTGAACTAACTAAAAATAACGGTACTCACGTAATAAGAACATACCTACTTTTTTTAAAAGGTTGAATGAATGGAGTTTCTTGCTCGTTCTTCTCCATTCGAATCTACATTTTAGAATGACAAACTATTATTTATTTTGTATTTCTTGACGTTTCAAAAGTAGCAAATTGTAGTTTAAACTGTCAAACACCAAGCGGTCACCGGTGACCGCAACCTATTGTTCTATAATTGTGTCTATAATGACGGTACTCGACGAGTTAATTGACGTAAATGCTTTGACTTTGACTTTAATATAGGTACTGAGAATAATTCTACTAGTTTCGTTAATTCAGAATTCTTAGTCAATGCTGTAGATATGTCTGACGAACACGATAGTTATTATAAAAAAATAAATAGTGTGTTGCTTACACTAAAACCGAATTAACTTCAAATTATTAAGTACTTTATCTTTTCAGACATCTTTATCTACCCTTCGGACGAGTTTTATCCAATAGATAATGTGTTTGGGATGTCTTTTCCTAAGGCGCCACTGTCACAATCAGCTTTCTCGTTTCATTTAGACACACTCACGAGTGCAGTACATATGGTATCACAAGATATATTAAACACATTTTGCCCTTCAATATATTTGGAATTCCAAGACAACCTCCTGGTTCTTGATTGAGATTATAATTAACAAATTACCCCATTGTTCAAAAAGTACACTTTCCAAACTAGGAAACAGTTGAAACTTTAGTAAAAACGTAAGAATAGATTTTTAATTCATAAGGAGTTAAGGGTAATCCAAAAATTGTGATTATAATTATTATTATGAATAAATAAATCCTCTTACAGCAGCAGAATTGCCTTTTATTATTACGCTACATATTACGCATTTTAATTTTATTTTTTTATTATTCTATCATCTATGTGCTACGGAGCCGCGAAGTGTAGGTGTAGGAACGGGTTGGTTTTTAGTCAGTAAGAGTCTGACACTCCCTCCCGCTATATCCAGGCGGTAGAAGTCATTCGATGATTTTTCCCCCCTTAAAAAGAAGCTTTGGGGGGGGGGCTGGGTGAGGCGGGAGTGTCAGACTCTAACTGACTAAAAACCACCCCGTTCCTTCTCCTGCACGTCGAGCCGGAGCCCCGGGATCCCGTTAGGTTTTCCGCGACTCGCTAATATTATAAAGCGAAAGTTTGTCAGTTTGTTTGTTACCCAATTATGTCAAAACGGTTGAAGGGATCGGGAGGAAATTTGGATCAGGGGTAAATTATGGCCTGGTATAACATATTGCCTACTTTTGAACCTACAGCTACGTGGGCAAAGCCGCTAATAGAAGCCAGTGAAACACAATGAACCGTAAATAAAAAAAAATTACAGTCTCTTCAGTATTTGTCGAATATTCTATACACCAAAATTTTCCCTGTAATGCCTAAACGTGATTGGACAATAGTTGCGCGCTATTTTCCCGTAAAATGACAGCGGTGACACTATAATGTGTTTAGTGAATCTATAAAAAGTGTGGTAAGTATAGACGTTCTTTTTCTTCGCTATATTTTGTTCCCCGAGTGAGAAGTACGCCGCTCTCTGGTAAAAATTCAATGGGTAGAATTTATCCGGTTCGTATACCTGGAAACCTAATTCTGAAATCAAGATTAAAGTTTATTAAAAGATGACATAGGTAACTTAGGTTTACGACTATGGGCCGATTTTATCAAAGCCAGATAAATTTAATTAGAGAAACAACTTTGAATAATAGACAATAGGGTAGATGCCTAATTTTTATTTTAATGTCGGTCTGGTACATTAATTTAAAACTTTAGACACGTATTTTTTCTTTTCTCACAAAATTAAATACTTTCGACGATATAATAATTTGAAATATCGTGTGACGTCACAGCGTGCCACATTTTGTAGCACGATAAGACTCCTAAACTTAGCGCCATTTTATCTAAGTATTGCAACTTAATACGAGAAAATAAAAAATACGTGTCTAATATTTTTTCATTATCTAGCTGACGGACTAATTAGATTTTTAATTTTGATACCCTTGAAACTACTCAATTCTTCCATACCTACATGGTGATGTCTGTGTACATGTGTACATAAACTAATAAATAAATAAATAAACTGTCAAGTGGCAATTAGGTATATGCTACAGGATTTATTATTGTTGATTGAGAAATCGGTTTCAGTGTCGCGCTAACCGCACGGTGACCGTTGTCGATCGGCGCTGACAGCCGAAATATACGAACTTCTAGGAGCCGTGCGCGCAGATAGCTACGCGTCATTCAATAACGCTTCCTAGAAGTTTTTACAAGAGTTTTATACACTAGCGGACCCAACAGACGTTGTCCTGCATATCCACTTGAATGTATAAACAATAATTCATTCAAATTAGTTCAACTGTTTTGGATAAATAACGTAAACATCGACTGCAGCGCCATCTGTCGGGCTGATTTGTGAATCTGAACTATTCCCAGATCCCCTTGAACACACACAAAAAATTTCATCAAAATCGGTCTAGTCGTTTGAGAGAAGTTCAGTGACATACACACTCACAGAAGAATTATATATATAAAGATATAAATGATTTGCCGTTCGTTAGTCTCGCTAAAACTGAAGAACGACTGAACCGATTTGGCTAATTTTGGTCTTGAAATGTTCGTGGTTTAACAGGTTGGAAAAACAATAGTTTTTAGACGGTACAAAGTTAACCAGGTCAGCTAGTATTATTATAATAATTATCTTATCTCAAAGTCTAAACGGAGTCTAAACGCAAGACTTACAGGTACCTAAGTAAATCCTGTTTGAACCTACACTCATTCATAACATCACGCCTTTTATCCCCGGAGGGATAGCCAGAGGAGCACATTACGGTTCTTAATGCCACTGTACAATGTAAAATTAAAATCCACTTTTCACTATTCCCATGTAATACGAGGTGAGCCTATTGCCATATACCGCGCACAATTGCAGACTCCGTGCTACTACGGAGAATTACGGGGAATCTAACCTGATACCTCTTGCCCGGCAGTCACACTTGCGACCACTCGGCGAACGAGGCAGTGAACCTACACTATGCTGGTATTATACAGTCGGGAGACATCAACTGCCTAACAAAGGCCTCCCCCTTAGTCCTTCACGTCGAAGCACAGCTCGCTACTTGCATCCGTTGGCTCCCCGCTACTCTGCATTATGTCTGGTCTGCCCACGCTACGTCTTCCGACCCCTGGTCGCAACTCGATTACTTTCCTCTAGATTATAGATAGGTGAGTCACAGTCACTAATTAGATCATATTCCTTTGTGGCAATTTTAGGACATGACCTGGACCCAAATATTTGTACATTGTGCTTTATACCTAGGTACTTAAAGTTTAAAATAACGTACCTTTGCACAAGGTAGCATTAATTCCGAATGTATTTAAGGCTACTAAATGTGAAATGATGGACGTAGTATCATAGCTCCAATTTTCTGGTGTCGACATGAGTGGGTCTTCTAGTAACCTGGAAAAAACCCATTGGGTACGTTATTCTGATTATTTGGACTTGTGAAGATATATAACACCACGGAGTAAGTACTTACTCTAAACTCAAAATAAGAGCTACTTAAATCAACTTTTTATATCTACCGTTAGGTAACACTTATAGATTATTGAAAACCAGAAGTGTCTAGTCTATCTTAACTTAGGAGTTCCTTAAAATTTAAGAAAATTAAACAGACATGTCATTGTGGCCCGGAGGTTTAAGACGCCCGTTTTTCACGCATGAGGGTGCGGGTTCGAAATCTACCAACGACAAGTACTCCTATGTGATTTTTTCCGAGTTATATGTACTTTCTAAGATTATTTAGATACCACTGACAAACGGTGAAGGAAAACATCGTGAGAAACCAGGGCTTGTAATTTTTAAATCTAAGTTTGGAATGCAATTGATGCAATGCAATTTGAGCAAGCGTGGTGATTAATGCTCAAACCTTCTCCATGTGAGAAGAGGCTTTGCTCAGCAGTGGGCATTTATAGGGTGATGATGAAAAAACAGAGATTAGTCTTCTTTGTGTGTTAGTTAGTAATGTGATGTGGACGAAGCGGTAATAGATAAGTTAATTAGGTGAGGATTTTATTGAGACTGCGTACAAATATCGCCCAATCGAATTGTGAACGGCTAATTGATAGTTGACCCCTTTAAATTTTTAGTTAAGGCATAAGTGACGGCTAGAATCCCTTCCGATCCCTGAATCCCAACAATTCTCAATTTCGTAATCCCCAAAAGGACGGTAACGCACTTATAATGCCTCTGGTGTCAAGTGTCCATGGGCGACGCCGATTGCTTACCATCAGGTGATCCCTCTAATCGTTTACTAGCTTATCCTACAAAAAATAGAAGTAATGACGCCGAAAAGAAAATCGAGAAACCTATAGCTAGGAATTTTCATATACGGCTTGAAGCAGATTTACATTATAAGATGAATATGTATGTACTTACTTTACAGCAGCTTCAGCTAGTTTCTTGCCAGCTTCACTTTTTGAAAAGGCAAACATGTCTGCCGAATAAGTGTACGGGGTGTCCTTAACAAACCAACTGTCGCATAGGTCAAATTTTTTCGCCACTATGACGTCAAAACTCAAGTACATGCCACCAAACTTGTACAATACCAAGAATTTTAGGATCCGCGAAACACGTTGGTCCAAATCTCTTTTGTCCAACTTGTTAATAAAACTGTGTAAAGACGTATTTTTTGCGAAATCTTTAATTAAGATCCGCGCAAACTTCAAGTTGCTGTAGGATTCTTGTAGAGTATTCAGTATGGCTCTCGGGTTCAGTGCGCCAGCTGAGACAGGTGACGAGAATAGCACGTATATTTTCCGGTTCCTATTAGCTCTTGCAGCGGACTCCACAGAGCACGCGAGGCGCGATGACAAATCGCCCAAGCAAGACGTTTCGAGGAAAAATATGGAGTTTTCTTGGACCATACTTAGGTCAAGTAATCCCAGATTATCACCTTTTCTCGATTCATGGCATGATAATACAATGTCCGGGTACCTCAATAATCGTTGCTTCCATGCTTTCATGTGTTCCTGATCAATCGTGTAATAGACTGATTCATTGTATGTATGTGTTAAATTTACTAACAATTTTATGATAAATAAAATGTTCAATAAAAGGAAACATTGTATCAACAACTTCAACTTCATTTCTGGTTAGTTGGTCCGATTTATCGTGAGAACTAAAAACTGTTCTTGACGAGAACGGACACAATAAAAACCAAGTTATCCAACTTCTTCCAGCTGTTCTTGAGATTTGCGTTTAACAACACCTTTTCCGATTCATTTTAATCAGGCACCTATGTTTATGTACAGATGTGGTTTATTACTGTGCTCGTTTTAACTACACTACGTTTATTTTATTATGCTGATACTAAGTCTTACTGCGGCTTCACTGGCATTATTACTAATTTTTGTATCTAAATAGGATTGTATGTTGGAGATAGCGGGCTAGTCCCTTATTGTACCTACATATTCCATACACCACCATCATCATCGTCATTATCAACAGCTAGAAGACGTCCACTGTTGTACAAAGCCCTCTCAATTCTAAACAATTTCCATCGTATATATTTGTTTTTTTTTTTGAAAACGTTTTTCTCTTGTGTCGTTTACAACCATACCCATACACATGACATGAGTTTCCGTAAGACCGTAATGGGACCGTAATATATGTCACCGGGACACCATGGTAGCGCAACCAGTCGCCGCCACCAACAAAATGTATGTATGCTCTAAAGAGAGTTACTCACCTGGTGTCGGCTTGGTGTGAAATCAATCTAGCGGCGTTATCAGTTCGGGCGCCAGCACAGAATGTGACCGGTCGCTCATCCTGGTCGCGTCACCACAAATTACTATATAGCACTGTATGGAGTGTTACTCACCCAACCGCCATCAGGTGACGCGACTGCTTGCGTCGCCGCCGATGCCGGTACGGAGCCGCGGGGGACTTAATGGGTTGCCGGGGCTTCGGCACGAAGTGCAGGAGTAGGAACGGGTTGGTTTTTAGTAAGTCTGGTCTGGTCTGGTTTTTAGAGACGTCGTTTGATGATTTTTCCCCCTTAAAAAATATATTTTTACGCTTGGAATCGATTTTACACTTAACGTTGAGAGCCGAGAGCCTCCGTTGTCTAAAACATTTCTTACATTGTTATGAACAAAGACCCAAATATTATTTATTTCGTCAAAGTAGGTATGTTACAATAGATGGTACCTATATAGGTAATATTATGGTAGTGCGCCACATTGTGTCTGTACAGACATACAAAATATTTATAGTAAGGTCTTAACTCGTCGAGTACCGGTTTTGTAGACACAATTATAGAACAATAGGTTGCGGTCACCGGTGACCGCTCGGTGTTTGACAGTTTTCTAGTGTGTTTACAGACAATAATCTTCTCTGTCTACATTATAGCACATAATACACATACCTAATTACAACTTAATTTAAAAATAAAATAATATTAATAATAGTATTGATTAAAAATGAGAAGCTAATTTAAATTTTAATTATAATAATAGTCTCCACAAATTCGACTTTATTACTGTATTAACATCAAGTTTTAATAAAACTATTAGGTAACAACCCTTACATTGTTATGAACAAAGACCTTAACAAATCTTACATTGTTATGAACAAAGATCCTAACAATTCTTACACTGTTATGAACAAAGCCCTATACATATAAATTGTAATTAAAGTAATCACATCCTGTGGCACTTCCACGTGCAAGCGTATTTACTGACAACGCCCCACCACTGGTCATGTAGGATAAAATATACGTCATAATTACTGTATAGTCACTTCAGAAAAATGTATTCAACTACTAACACCGTTCTATATCACACAGTAATTATTGTAAGTCAAAAGTTGTGAAGTATAAATTAAAGAAATTATTACCAGCACTTGGGTCTACCGGAGCGCCGTACTAACAGAACGCAAATTTAATTTTGACAAACAGCAAAAAATATATCCGAAATTGTGCTAAAGCAACAGTACCTATATTTAATTTTTTTTATCTTTGTTAAGTGGAACAGCAAATAGCTATTTTATAAAGAGTTAGGTACGAACTGTAGTTTATCCACTCAATTTAATTTTAGGTAATAATGCAACCCACAGCAATGTCCACAGATTGCCATAAAATATAATAGAAACAAAACTTGATTAGGAAATCGCTAGAGATCTAGGTTTAGGTTAGGTATTAGTGTAGGTTTAAATGTAGAAAGTACCTAAATAAATATAACGTAATCGAGCATAGTACGTTGTATAGATTTTGCTCTCCACTCAGTCCCCAACACGCTCCCCAGGGTTGATACTGAAGGGATACGACGGCTATGGGGTGGGGGTGGGTTGGGGTATTACACCCCCGCCGCATGGGATCTGTACCACCCCATCGCACCACCCCCTGTGTGTAGCACTAGGGTAGAATGCGCACGGAACCTAACTTTGTTAAGTATTATTATTAACGTCACCGTAACGTTAACAGTTTTTGGGAGATTTTAATAACTAGTTGCGTCGCTTCGTTAATCGATTTAGGGACGATTTTACAATCATTACTTACTTTTCAAATGTAGAATAAAATTGACATTCGACAGTTTTTAGTATGGAAGAATTATCAAATACCTATAGCCGCGGTTAATATAATTTATATATTTTTGCATACAAACGATAGAACCTATCTAGGTAGTAAGAATATGATTTCATCGTCATCTTCATTTAAACTAACTAATTAATAAAAAATAATAACTTAAAGGATTCTTTGGGTTTTTTTTTCAATACATTCATTTCGGTTAATCGCGGAGGTTTTTTTTATACTTTATAGGTCGACGTTTGACCACCATCTCGCCTGATGGTAAGCGATTGATTCACCTTAGTCCTTTCTATCATCGTACCACAAGAAGACAATCGACAAAGCGTCACCGATTTATGGTAGATGTCCCATCCACTCGCACAGAATGCTTCGCTTCAAGCTTCCTTGTGCAAAGTGGTAAGGTAAGGAATTCTTTGCCACAGTTTGTTTTCTGAAGGGTATACCTACCTGGGTGTCTTTAAGGCCCGAGTGAAGGTCGCTTGTGCTCCATCATAGACCGCATCATCGCTTACCACCAGGCGAGATAGTGATCAAAGGTCGGTCCATTAAATATAAACAAAAAACACTTATAAAAACGACATGGCACAAAAACGTCAGTCGAAAACTTAGTAAAACTGTGTTTTTTTTATAATAAGGGACGCGATCTCTCTGGCACCTTTTGTTACGATTATTGACCCTTTTTTTTAAAGTTCCATCGCCAGGGGGTAAAACGGGATCCTATTTTTAGTAATGCGGGGTGCTTGCACATCTGTGACGTCTGGCTAACACGCCGTGCCCCTCGCAAAATGCACGGTGGACGGTGGATGTTTCATGTTTATATTTTGTTTAAAATACATTGCCTATCTAGGATTTTTAGGACAAGTTCACATGATACCCACACGCACCCGAAACAATACATTTCTTCCGTGTGGGAATCGGACCCACAATACGTTGTGGTTCAGTGTTTAAACTTTGCTCCATGGTTTAAAGACAGACGAATATTATATCGATATCATGGCCTTTAGCCAAACGCCACTTTAGCGCTTGTCTACCGAGAGAGTAGAAAACTAAATGTATGGGGATGACACTGACAAGTGTCAAAATTTACGTTAATTCCATAAATTATAGTTTTCTATTCTACAAGTAGACAAGCGCTAAATGGCATTTGGCTACAGTTTCTGTAGTTTCGGAGGTTAGGATAGATTAGAAACCAACAAAACAAAAAATTACACAAATAAACAACTTATGTAGTTTTATGAAGGTATTTATTTAAAACTTGTATATACCGATATTAAATACATAGAATTGTGCTTTCATAGTACAGACAATTTAAGCGTAATAACAGCTGGGAGGATAAATATGTTCGATGCTCGAGTTACGTACGATTAATCCATATTCCAATTACATCTTCAATCATTAAGTAAAATTTATTACTATAATACCATAACATAATATCACGTCTTTCATCTCCGAAGGGGTAGGCAGAGGTGCACATTACGGCACTTAATGGCCTTGTAAAACGTAACACCCACGTTTCACTATTTATGTTATGAGTCCTGTGTAATAGAGGGTGAGCTTATTGCCATATACCGGGCACAATTGCCACCTGCCTACCCCTTCGGGAATAAAAAGGTGTAACATCACGCCATGTTATGTGATGTAAAGTTTTGTTCTCTCCAGAAATGAAACTTATGATTTTAATAATTATATTTTTATACATTATGTCACAACACAGTTGTACGATTAAATCACATCACAACCAGATTTAACCAATAAATCCACTATAACGAAATTCCATGAAATGTCTCATACAAATATAGTTTCTAAACATCGAGTGGAGAGTGGTCACCGGCGACAGCTTGGGGATTTAAAATCACTGTAAATACCTCATGGCTAGGAGAACTGAGTACTAGAGATAAAAGTGGCTTATAGCTACGTGAAATAGGTCCAGTAGTTTCAAAGCTTATTACATACAAACAAATAAATCTTTATTGTTTATTAGCTGTTGCCCACGACTTTGTCAATTTAGGACATAGCTTTTTTTTGTTCCAATTTTCCAAAATAAAAGTCCTAACCTACTATACCTGCCAATAAAATTATTGTCAAAACAGACAGACAGACAAACATTATAAAAAATGTTATTTTGGTATATGTATCGTATGTGTATTCAATATGCATGTACCTCTAGTAAAAAGCGGTTATTTTAATATTACAAACAGGCAATCCAATTTATTCATCTGCTTAGATAATATTACCATAGATAGTACAGATTTGCGTATTATGACATTAATACGGTAGTTGACAGGTAGTCAAATTCAATACTTTTATTGAAATGTCAAAAACGATACTTTTTCTATGAATTTTGTATTGGATCGCAACTTATGACGTCATCATATTTCCGCGTCAAATAGCATACTTATTTCCTTAAAATTAGCGAGAAAAAAATCTAAAAGTAAG